ATTTCTCCAGGGCGCCCTGGCTGGTTCCCTTTCGTGCTGAGTGGTATGTTTAAAGCAAGAACTGGGGTGCTCACTGCCGCTGGGATGCCATTGCTTGCAGAGCCTTCCAGTGGACAGAGCCAGGAAAAAATCTGAAGTTTGTACTGAGATCGTCGAGTTCCACCCCGACTTTCTCTCACTCCACTCTTGACTCGTTTCTCGCTGTGAAATCCGTGGTTCCCAGTAATAACGCCAGGGAACTTCAGTCACTCCACGTAGTTTCAGAATCTCTGTGCCTATTCCCGCCCCTCGCCCCCCACGCCCCCCACCGCCCCGCCAGCCTACCAAGTTCAGGATTTCTTTGCAGATCGATTCGTCCTTAAACAAGGGCCAAGGGCGTCTAGTCAAGAGCACTGAATTCCCAAGCTACTTGAATGGATTTTTTTCTATGTGGGTATAATCATGTTCCAATAAAACCTAACTCACCCAAACAGCCAGCAGGCTGGTGCAGGCCGAGGGCCATAGTTTGCAGCCTCTGGCCCAGAATTTCATCCTAACAGCCGTTCGTGGTGCGGGGCAAGCAGCTGGTGAATAGCCACGTCTGCCGATAGGGGCTGAGTGGGCAGGAAACTCTGGCCTTCTGGAGCCCAGAGGAGGCACATGACGGCTGGCGGCAGGTGGGCCTCCCTGGGGGACAAGCGGGATAGAGGCCTCTCCTGGGCTCCCCTCTCCTGGGCCCCCAAGACCAGCCAGGGATTAGAGGAGAGGCCCAGAGGTGAGAAATTGGAAGCCAGGGCCTGGGTTCGGGTGCCAGGCTGGGAGGAAAGGAGAGCTGGGTGAGCTGACGGCCTCCCCTGGCAATTAATTCTGAGCGCCTCTCTGGGTTAGAAAACGTCCAGTTTGGGAAACAAAACAGCAGCATGGCTTGTCAGCACCGAGCCCAGTGTGCACCGAGGCCCAGGGGGCCCCACTGCTGCCTGTCCCCACCCGGGGTGCTATGTGCAGCTCCCTCAGCCCGCCTCAGGCACCGATGATGCCAGGGTGTCACTTACTTCTGCCCTGTGTGCCCAGGAGGCCCAGCCAGTGCTGCCGAGACATGGCTCCCCTGAGCAGGCTCCTAGAATGGGGAGGGGGTCCGGGGGAGACCCAAGAGAACCGAGGAGTGAGGGGCCAGGTCTGCTGTGCTGTCGTTCATGCGTTCACACGTCCCCCTGCCCTGTCCCCCACTCGCCTTACCACTGGGCTTGGCGGGTTCGCACAGGCTTTGTGCAAAGCCCTTTGGGCTTGGAGGCAGACTCGTTATGGCTCTGGAGAAATGAGCCTGGCTTTCTGCTGCTGACTTCTCTTTTAATTAGATTCTGACAGCAGCGTGCAGGGCCGACTGGCAGCAAACTCAGGTGCAGCTCTCCGTGGCCCCAGGCCTCTTGGTTTTAGCGCAGTCTGGCTTTTTCAGAGGCAGGAAATGCTTCTCACTTTTCTACAAGAGCCGAGCAGGAGCCTCGCGGCACACGTACGAGCACGCATCCGCCCTCCTGCTGGTGCGTGCGTTTGTGTGTCCGTGTACATGTATGTACGAGCCACTTTTGGGAAAGTCTGCAGACAAGGCACGTGGAGAGGCCCCTTCCATCCTGCCATCCGGCCCGGTCATCCATCTGATCAGTGACGACGGGCGCTGTGGGAAGGCGGGTCGGGCCTCGGTGTCGCACCTGTGACTGGGATGGTGGTTCCTCCAGGCCTTTCCCAGCAGGACCCCTCCAGGTGTCCTGCCGGCGTCCGGGCCCTCAGGAAAGTTGTCTGCAGTGCAGGCTGGTTCAGGAAGACAGTGACCCCCCAGCCAGGGTTCCCTGGAAGTGTTTGCCTCTCAAGAGAAGAGAACTAGAAGCCAGCGCTTCCAGGGCTATGGGCAGCAGGTCTGGGGTGAAAGGCCAGAAATATGGAAATTCTGCCCCTCCTTTTACACTGCGTGGCCTGGGCCCAGCTTTGTGGAGGCCACTGGGGCTTGGCCTTTCCCCAAAGCCCAGAGGCTTCCTGGCTGAGCCTCCAGCACCTGGGCCTTCACTGGGGCGGGGGTGGCGTGCTGAGGAAGGAGGAGCAGAGATACCCCAGGGAGCCCCTAGTCTTAGCTCCCAATCCGAGGGAGGAAATAGCCCCCTGCCCTCTGACTGTGACCCTCCTCCCCCCTGGGGAGCCCCCACTTTGATGGAGACCATGTGGCCCTGCCCTTGGCGAGCTCCTTGTCTGCGAGGGAGCTGCAGCTCTGCTCTCGGGGTCCCCCATGAAGGGACGAGTGGTGAACCCTGCCTTGTGAAAGCTGGCCATCGCTCTTCTCTCCCTGCCCCCGCTCTGGGGACCCTCTGTCCTCTTCTGGGGACCCTCTGCCTTCTTGATCCCCCAGTCCGTGGGCCTCCCCTCGCTTGGGCCGCAGAGCTTAGCCATCAGAGACTAGCTCAGAAAAAGCAATTTTGTTGGCCATCTCACAGTCTCGCCCTCCTGGGAGTGAGCTCCGAGTCCACTGGCTTGGCTCCCCATGGAGGGTCCCCCACCCGCACCCCCGCCCCCACCAGCTTCTTTATCTTGGTGGGAAACCTCTTGGTGATTTGAGCCACGATGGAGTTGGGGCTGAGGTCCGGGCTGGAGTGACTCTACGGCAAAAGAAAGAGTCCCCTTATGCCCCTTCTCGCTCAGGAAGCCCGTGTGAGACCCAGAATTCCAGCCTCCTGCTACATCGCTGTTAAACCGAACTTCTTTCAAAGGTGCATCTGATCATGTCGCTTATAGCTCAGCCCTCTAGCACTTACAGACGAACTCTTCACCAGAGACCTCGAACTCTTCACCAGAGACCTCGAGGCAGCCTGGGGTGATCCAGCCCCGCCCACCATCTTCCCACCTCTGTCTTTCTGCAGTGCTCCCCCACACCAGCCACCTGTCCGTTTCTCAAACAGACAAGCACATTCCTGCCCCAGGGCCTTTGCGCCTCCTGTGCCCTCTGCCTGGAGTGTTCACCCCCTGGAGTGTTCACCCCCCTACCCCCCACCCCCATCCTTCCAGGGCTGATTCCTTCACATTTTTACATCTCTGCCTAAATGCTGCATTCTAGAACTCCCCTGGGAACCCAGTCTTAATGGCTCCCCATCTTTTTTCTGTGTGGTGGTTATCATTATCTGGAGTAATTTTTATCTGTTTATTTGTTTCAGTCGTCTCTGCACTGGGGACATGTACTCCCCGAGAGTGGGCCCCTTGGTTCTCTCGCTCACCACTGTCTCCTCGGCACCTAGAGCCGTGCCAGGCACACAGTAGGAGCTCAAGCATCACATCTGTCGGATGAATGAGATTGTGTTAGGGACTGGGCCTGTGCCGAGCTTCCCCTCACCCAGGTTCCTATAGTTTTCATGACAACTTCCACTTACAAATGGGGAAACTGAGGCCCAGGCCTGCGAAGTTATTGAGGAAATCAGATTTAACAGCAGGTCTGGAAACAAATACATGTTCTGTCCACCATCTTCCTGCAGCTTTGGGTGTCTGTGCTCTTTATAGAAAAAAATGGAAACAACAGAAAACCAGAGAGGAAGAAGCTGACCAGGTGCTGCCCCTGGCATAATTCTCAGCGTTCAGGTTTCTCCTCCCGTGTGCCTCCTCCTCCCCGCATTTCGGATGCTGCCTTTTTTCTCTGTTTTTCCTTTTTGCACTCACTACCATAACAATCACATTTTTATGTTCATCGCGCACTCTCTGTCAACCCGATTTTGAATGGATGTGGGACAGGCCACTCCGTGGGTACATCGAGTTACCTGACCATCCTAGATGGCTGGGCATTCAAGCTGTTTGTGGTCTGCCATTCTGGGGTTGTCTATCTCTGAGTCACAGCTGAATGTCATAGATGGAATTCAACTGTCCATCCGTCCTCTCTTGGACCAAATTTCACTGTGCGCTGTCCCTGTGCTGAGCCAACGGGTACTGAGGGGCCTGAGGTTCACTGTCTGTCCTAGGAGTTTATAGTCCAGGGTAGGAGGCAGCAGAGTAAGCCACAGAGTGCTGTAGGTGTCACTGGGCTGGACAGTGGGGTACGGTATGCGGAAGGAAGTGGCCGATACAATGGTGGTTGGGGGTGCCTCATGGAAAAGGGACATCACCCTGAAGGGGAGTCTTCAGATGCTGGAAAGCCGTTCCCAGGAAGGCAGCGGGTGATGCACGTTGCAGACAGGTCATGGCGAGGGTGCAGGCGTGCAGCAGGGCGTGTCGTGAGCACAGTTCGGCCCCGGCTTTGACGGGCCTAGAATGCAGGGAGTCGGGGCAGAGCTGGGGCCTGGACTTTCTCCTTCAGTGGGTGGGAAGCCTGACCGCCTGTTTCTCCTCTTTAAAAAAAGAGTTTGTTTTGTTTTTTAAAGATCAAAATTTTACAGACACCTGTGAAAAGAATCAAATAGCATGGAATGATTTATGCAAAGGCCCTCACCACTCTCCACCCCAAGCCCTGCTTCCTGGGAGGAAATATTCCCCTGTTCTGTTTTTAAGCCACCTGGCACTTTCCTCATGACTTGAACTTGTCCGCCCGGCTGGTTCTCGATGTCTCAGTTTTGGGGATTAGGTGTGGCCTCCTGCTGCGGAAGACGAGGACGTGGCTCACGCCGCCCACCTCCCTTCACAGAGCTGCCTTCACGGCTCTAGATAACACTTGGCTGCCGCTCCGTCTCCCCCTCTTGTCACGGTGGCATGCTAGCACCCAGTCCCGTCAACTCCCAAGAGCCAAGTGCGGGTGAATCTTGCCCTGCGCCTCATTCAGTGATGTCGTGTGGGGAGCTGGAGATTGGCCGTATTAGCGTGTTTACACCGTGGGACTCGGCAGACACGACACACCAGGGTGCCTCTGCCAGCTAAACAAATACCAACAGCCCACTGCTGGGCTTCTGAGGTTCCCTTCCAGCCCTGACTCTGGTCCAGGCGGGGGCCAGATTAGCTTGGCCCCCCAGAAGCTCGGCTGGCAGTCCCGGCCCAGCACCAACACCCCTTTGTCTGTGCCGCAGCAAAGCTTCGAGGCGCACCAGGATGAGGCTGTGAGCGTGACGCACATGGTGAAGGCGGGCAGTGGCGTCTGGATGGCCTTCTCCTCTGGCTCCTCTATCCGCCTCTTCCACACGGAGACGCTGGAGCATCTGCAGGAGATCAACATCGCCACCAGGACCACCTTCCTCCTGCCAGGTGAGGCTTCCATGGGGGCACAGTGCCCGGCTGTCCTGGGCCTGTGAGGGGAGGGAGCTGACATTCACGGAGCACCTTCCACAGCCAGGCAGAGATGTGTCTTGGCTGACCCAGCTCATTAACCTTCATGGAGGCCGTAGGTCAGCCTCGAAAACTGGGTCTCTAGGAGAGAAAGTGGCAGGGTCGGAATTTGAACCCAGGCCTGTCATTTTAAAGCCTTTCTTACTGTCATTGCGTGCTCCCTCTCTGAGCTCAGAGGACTCTCCCAGGTCAAGCGGCTACTAGAAAGTCACTCTGTGCAGGAACCCTGGCCTGTCTGTACGTGCCATGCTTCAGGTTGCCCAGAAACCCAGTTCTGCATCAAAGCACCTTCAGGATGAGGTGAAGCTGAGGGAGAAGGCTGACCAAGAGGCTCTTTCCTTAGAGATTTTTCTAAGAAAAGCATCTGTCCCTCTAGTTTGTTGGTTGGGGTTTGGAGGCAGGGGGAGGTTCAAGGGCTTGGGCGGCTACCTTTTGGGGTCTGTGCTTCCTCCTGCGTAGCTGTTGGTGAGACGTGGTGGAGAGGATTAAAGTCGGAGTTCACCTAACACCCTGCCCCTGCCCCTGCCCCTGATCTGTCCTGAGGCCTCTGTGGAATTGGCTCCAGGTTCTCCCTTACCATCCGCTGCCCCAGACGTCGCCCAGATCCCTGAGTGCCGTGCCGGGAGAGCGAGGGCAGATATACTTGCTCAGGGCCCCTTCCTATGCCCAGCCAGCCTGAGTGCAGCCCACAGGGCCAGCAGGCATCAGCTTGCCTTTTCCCCCTGCTTGGGTAGCTTCCCCAGACAGCCAGACCAACCAGTGGCTGGTCCGGGAGAACGAAGAGGCTCTGTCTTGTCCA